CGGGAGGGCCGAGCGGACCCCCCCGCCCCCGTGAGCACATCTGGCCGTGGTGCAACATCTGGGCAAATGGCACTGCCACATTGCTCACCATGCACCAAGCAACGAAGCGTTTCTCCATGACCGCAGCCCAGCACCAGCGCTTTGAACATCCTTTGATCAGCATTTAGCTGCGTTTGTGTGCCTAAAAGGTCCCTGATTCTTACTCCTTGCACTGCGTGTAATGTGTAAAGTACATGGTGGTTCCACTGTTCAATATAATCCTTAGGTATTCTTTTCTGTATTTTAACAATATTATAAGGCCATCATGAAATATGCCTGCCAGCTGATTGCATCTCTGCAGTTTGAGTTGACAAATTCCTGTCTTCGTGTTCACGTAGAACAACTGCTCAATGAAGTTAATTTAGAAATATATATATATATTGGGCTTTTTATCTTTAATTAAGACTTGACAGTTTCAGCATTCAGTGCCTTTGGGCTAGAATATCTCTTTCTGAGTAAGAAAACAAAAGCAGCCAGCTGAAGTATTAGAAATAGCATGAAATTCAAACAGCCTTTCATATTTTGCTGGTAAACAGCCAGCAATGTGAATTATGCAAAATAATCAAGAGATGCTTCCCAGTTATCTTTCAAAACCAATGTAAACACCAAATAGAAGAATGTAATCAATTGAATGTTTGCAAACTCCTTGATGACTTCCTTTGGGTGTCTTCCTGCCCTGTTTTAGAATGATTTGGACTCAGTGCAGAAAATATATATGTACTATATATACTCTACTGGGACTAGTGGTACTATAGTGGTACTACAGTGGTACTATAATGGGAGCCTACAGGTGTAGATGTCTACAGGGTTACATCGGCATTTCACTGGATGACTCCAACCTTAACTGCCTGGAATGGAAAAAGAATTCATATTTTTACCTTCACTGTAATTGAAGTTATGATAATGTATTACTGAAGTGTGCATTATGGCATATAATAAGAATAGATCTTATATTTTGTTTTGGAAATGTTCATTAGTCTTATTAGGGGGTGCTTTAGGACTGCCATAGGGGTTTCTTCGGGGCTGCTAGGGAAGAAAGCAATGGTTTGCAAGGACTGCATATGCACAGCTTACTGAAAGCACGTCAGGCTTTTAGCTTGTTAGATACGTGGCTGTGAAACGAGACAATTTCCTACCATTTAATACAATGCCAGACTAGTATGTAGTGAATAACTGGGAAGCTAATATATCGTAGTCTTCATCTTCCACTATTAATACATCTACACATGCCTATGCTTGCTCTAAGGGACAGATATAAGGGAATTGTTCCCAACTGCATTGGTACATAAGTTCCATCAAGTGCATATATTATATTCTCTATGCCACTGCTCCAGCTGCACCAGTGAATATAAACTCTGCTTTTCAAAATGAAAATGCTGGAATTGGCCTTTCTCACAGATTAAATGTTTGTGAAAATCCATTGTCATAAGGAAGCGAACATAAAACCCAACGAACAGATCTGAAGTCACTGGAGTGACAGTGGGCATCAGAGTTCTGCACGAGACAGTAACATCTCCTCTCCTCTTCTCACAAACTGCCCAGACCACAGTAGCAATTCCCCTGTACTAGCAATTCTCCAGCCTTCACTTCAGAGATATCAAGAGATGGAGCACAAATGACTCCTGCTATAGCTGGCCTGCTTCCATGAAGGCTTTGAGTAGGAAGAGAGGCATGTGCCTATATTTCTGAATTGCAAATAGGTTAATTTAAATACTTCTGTGCAGACTCTCAATGACTGTAGCCCAGCACTGTGGGGTAATGTAAAGCCAGTTACTGCTCAGCACCTGCCTGTAGACAGCACCTCTCCAGGTCAATGAGCTGGAAGCTCAGGGGTACATCTTCAAGGTGACACTTGCAAAAGGGGGAGTAGTGCCAGGAACTGAAAGAAATTTGAAGCAGCTCAGGGCTGAGATGGCAATTGAAAAACAAAACAAAACAAAAAGGTTTTTTTTCCTCACTGTGAACACTTAAGGTTGGAAGGTATCTTGTCCCATCCTCTTCTGCACAAGGAGGGGATTTATTGGACAAGAGATAACTGAGGACTAGTGAGGTGGAGAGATGCTGAAGGATGTGAACTCCAGGTCCCACTTATGGCGAAGCTCAACTGGAGAAGGGTGACACTGAAGTTCTGCAGATGAAAGGGTCAGCGTGATGAAAGGGGCTGCTTCTGCCAAGGACTATCTCTGCACGTATCGCATGCCAGCAATGACTCTGCAACAGCTCTGAACTACGGCCAATTCTGCAGCACATAAAAACAAGCCCTACTGAGTGTAACTGCTCTTACAGAAGTCTGTAGGTGGAGGTGTTCCCTGAAGTGCAAAAATGTGCTTTTAGAAGTCTCTCTCGAGCATCTACATTCTGAAAAGTGCAGCCTTGATTTTCCTGAAATCAGCTTTGTCTGGCAGAATGCTGAAGATTCTTCACCTTGCTCTTCTGCAAGATCATGTCCAGCATATGGTGGTGATGTCTATCATAGACACAGCAATGGTAGGCTTTATTTCACAGTAAAAGTAGGACAAAGAGCAACTTATTTTTCCACTGAGAAAGGCAGGAGGGACAGAGCTATTGACAAGAAAATATTTTTTTCCAGACAGATATTTTCACTTCACATGCAAACTTGCAGGGCTTGTCTAAATGGAAGGGGAAGACAGTATATTGAAATCCAAGTAAACTATATGTGTTTTATTTTCCTCACATTTCCTTCATTTGACCTTAGCAAGTCACCTTTTTCCTTTACAGGAAAGAACAATTCATCCTTCCTCTATCTTTCTTTAGTTAATCTACAAGAATCTAATTATTTGGCACAGGACTCTTATCTAGAGGTATAAAATACATCTCAAATAATAGTACCTCGTTCTGTGAGACATTTCAGTCCAATACACATAATGGTTATTAATAATGAATTCTAGCATTGATGTAACACCCAGACGGTATCTGTAACAGGGATTTACCTCCCTACTTAAATTTTCATCCAGTCAATGCCTTCTCCAGATCAGCAGGTACAAGAGAAAACAAGACGAGCCATATGAATAGAGCTACTGATCTGAAGAGGTGTAGATAGCTGCACTGGATCCTTGCAGTCTACTCTCTAGGGTAACACTGGGCCTTATTTTTCTTTCCGAGTGATGCATTCTGCCACATCATCCCAGGTGAACCCAGTCTGCTACTTACCTGTAGTCCTGAGTTGGTTCACTCACAATTTAATTAGCAGACCCTCCTCTTGGTCTTGTTTCTGAATACTCTTCAGCCAGAAATAGCACCCAGAAAACATTCAGAGGCTCTCTAAATATAACTTTGCTATATTTCTAGCTTTGTTATAACCTCTTATCTCTGATAAAGTCTCACACTTGACAAATGATGCGCTCTCTTGAATTCAGCGCAACTAAACCCAGAGCCCCAAAGAAGCCCAGATACCCCTCTCCTGGCATGTCATAGTGCACCAAGAAAAAGTCAGGGACCACCTGCCAAATGCCTCTATTCATTAGCCATCTCCATTCTCAGGAATAAAACCTTTTCAGGGAAAAAAACATAAAATATGCCCTAGGGAGTGCTGAAGAGGGACTTAGCTTCTTGAGCAAGTTTGATGCCATCTGAGGTTTCTTTCCATGTCAGTTTGGCTGTGCTGTTGATCAGGGCAATGTGAGGAGCAAATGAAACCGGCCCGCCTGCTCTTTGAGGGACGTAGAGGGAGGGCTTTATGGAGATGAAATAGTAAAACCTAGAGTGTCTCCTTTTTTTAAAAAAAAAAAAAAAAAGAAAAAAAAAAGAGGAGAACTATTCCTGCTTGCTTAAAAACAGAGGCAACCATAGACAAGGCCTCTAATGCCAAAGGATTTAAATGTGAAATGTTGTCACTCCTCCAGCTCAGCAGCACAAGTCATCTCTTGCACTCTGTCGTGGGGGGCAGAGGAAAGGGTTGGTAGCGAAGGGAATTAATTCAGATGTCACAGGGGTTCTTCATCCTAACTTTTTAAAGAAATGAAGACCCTCAGTGGAATGTTAAAGTAGTTGATGCTGGAAATAAGTGAACAACAAAACCCCTATTATAAAAAGGCCATTTAAGGCCATTTAGCTTAGCTCAGTCGCAGAACCATGAAAGGTGCCGGCTCTCGTAGATACCTGACACAGTCCTATATCCTTGCTGTATCTAATGGTCTTCTGGTGAAATGTTTCTGTTTGATATACATGTATATATACATATTTATATATATATATATGTGTGTGTGTGTACTCACATGTCTATAATTGCAAAAGAGGGGTATGCTCAGCTCAACCTCTGCCCCTAAGTTCTGTTAAAAATTCTAGTTCTGTAACAAAAGTGTTTCAGATAATGCAAAATAAAGTCCTGCAGAGCAATGCAGACGTGCATGCTGCGATATTTGCACAAGCTCGTGCTGCAGGACTTGCTTCCTGACTTGCATGTGCACACTGTGGTGTTTTTGGTTTTAATCAGAAGAACTCCTTGAGGTAAAATCCATCCGCATGATTTGCGAGCAGGTCAAGAGTGGTTCTTCTGCAAGAGCTGCATCACCTGGGGAGCGCTCCTGTCGCAGAGCTGCTGATAATCCCGTAGGTGAAGCCCAGAGCCTGATGTCCCTGGAGAGCCCTGAGACCTGCCTGTTTACCTGGTCCCATCCCGAGGTGGCCTGGCCATGTAGGACCGCCTGGGGAGGTCATTTTCTGCATCAGCACCATTGCCAGCCTTCCCTTCCTCATCGCTCCTGAAGCCCATAGCGTATCTTGGAGCTCCTCTCCTCATGAATACACCTATTTCTGGCGTGCTGCTCAGGAAGGCTGGTGACTCAGGAGTGACTCAGCCTAGCAGCTCTCTGTAGCTTTCTTGATGTGACTACTGTAGATCTAAATCCTCTAAGTCTCACAGACCTAGACTGGAGCTGCTCTTGCTTTTCTGCTCTGTATGAGTGCACAGAAGCATTTAACAAATCCCTTAGTCATGCTAGTGGAATTCAATATGTGCTTTGTAGCCTCCAAGATCTCTGCTGCCTTTACTGCACCGATTCCTGTGTTAATTACAAATTAACAGTAGCTCTTCCCTTGTGCTCATAAATCCAGCCTTTGATTTCAAAATATGTAAGAATGAGACCTAAGCCCACATTAATAACCACTTCCTGGCAATACAGCTGGCAGAATACAATCCTTCAGTTAAGCCCTAGCTCTGTCACACAGTGTTTTCCATATGGTGACCATCCATACACTGCTAACAAAAAGCAGTTCTCTTGTACACGGTGCTTTTACCAGCTGGAGGACAGAGCAGTGCAGAGGCCTGGCTGCTCTATTACTCCAGAGTAGTCTTTGGCCAAGAGTTATTAGCATTGGCTCACCTGCAAGGAATTAATATGAAAAACACAGTGAAACGAGCCCAGTGGGGACACATCCTCCCTTCTAGGCTTGTCTTTGCCTTGAACAGCTCTCCAAGTGTAAAACTGCACTGCATTGGGCAAGCCTTCAGAGGCTGCTCAGTGGCAAAGGGGAGAAAAGGGAAGGATTTTTCCTCTCCATTCTGGGAATTTTTCCATGCTTTTCAAGGAGCAGAGTATTTCCAGCCCCTGGTCTTTGGAGAAGGTGTAAACAATGTTTGTCACCGATGGAGACAGTCTCACTGAAGGAGGAATTGCTTTCCGGAGGCTGCAGTTTAACAGCAGTATTTGGGAGTGTTTACTCAAAATGAATGTAGGTATGAAGACCACCATCATTTGGCCCTTCAGTTTTACTTGTTTCAGTGGGGGTGTTTAGCTTGTGAATGCGCACACCAAAAATATTTAGATGGTGAGGGGGAAATACACTGTGGATCACAAAAACAATAGGACTGTGTCACATTCTGCAGCTATAAATAGAAACACAAAACATGCAGCCCTTTCCAATGTATGTTTATACACATAGGGCAAAACTCCCATTGAGTGTGTTTGCAGTCTGGCCTTTTCTAGCTGTATTTAGAGCACCAGGCCCTGTACTTTTGTTTCCCATGATTCAGACACAAAGCAATGGCTAGTTGCTGTCAGTAAGCCTAGTGTTTCCAGCTTTGTCTTGGCTTCCTGTACCCTTAAATTGGATTTATTAGTGGATGCAAATGTGAATATATACATAGATATGAGTGGAATAGCTATTCTGGCCTAAGAATTGAGTGGGCTCAATGGTGCTGTGCCGCTGCCCTGCCTCGAAGCAGTGGCTTGCTTGCCCTCCATAACTCCAAGCCCTAAGGAAGGGCTGCCAGTGGTGGTGAAGTGTTTGAAACTGCTAAGCTGAGCTTCATATCGCGCTGTTTGTGCATTTGTCTTTTCAAGCCTTAGGAAAACAGTGGCTTCAAATGCTGGGGGTGATCCCAAACCCCTGCTTCACAACCCTGCATTTGCAAGTGTAGGAAAACCTGGGAGCCCACACGGTTGAGTAGTCATCAGAAAGTAGGGCTTCATTTTAAGCATCTAAGACAAGAAAATTTGGCTAGACATTAATTTTGCAACTGTGAGCTTTTCTCTGCTTGTTTGCCTGTAACTACAAGCCTTGCTCTTGCCTCTCTCAAAAGCAAGATGTTTGAATACTTTTTGTTTGCCAGAAGCTCATAAAACAGTAAATGGAGTTTGCTGAACAGTCAGCTCTGAAAGTACCTCCTGCCTCCTATCCAAGTGCCTAGGCTGCTGCTGTAGCATGGGGAAGCTGTGCACTAACAGCTCCTTTCTCTTCCACCCTCCTGGCTGCCCTGGCTACAAGGAAGTCCAGAACAGTTTGTCTTCCTGCACTGATCACTTCATGCATGTAAAGTCTTACAGGTCTCCTATTTCAATCAGTGTTTTTTGCAAGCTAGCACTGGCACCCCACTTGCCCCCCTCCAAATCGCCCTGTAGTGCCCTCAGGAAACCCCACGATGCTGCTGAACAGCAGAGAAAGGAGAGACCAGAGAATAACATCTACTCTAAGAGATCGTCTATAATTACTTTATGGCCTTTCTCAGATGCAGGACTTTGCACTGGTGAAGAGCTGGACAGAGGAAAAACCTGGAAATTATTATTCTGCCTTGCCTGGCACATCAAGAAACCAACAGGTTGCTGGCCCCAGACTCACCTGCAAATTGCTCCAGATTGAACTTGCCGCA